AGCAACTTATCCGGACATTTGCATGTGACAGGCTGGGCTCGCTCTGCAAACTCCGCCGCCGCCGGGCTGGCAGCAAACAGCCTGTGCACCGCACGCAGCCCGCTCCCGAGCAGCCGCCCGAGACGGCACGGCACGGCGGCCGCGAGACTGACGCAGTCAGACGAGCGGCTTCTTGCCCACAGTCCCGCGTTCCAGTGACACGCCACTTCCCTGGGGCTCCAAATGGCCGACTGCCTCTGCTCAAACCAGAACAGCTCTCATCCAGAAAGAGTTAACGTTTTGGAGAGGAGTTCATTATATAAGCGAGAGATAAGGCTGCTGCGCCCCTCAGACCAAATCCCTGGTAGCCGGGGATGCTGCCCGGCCAGCGGCGGCAGGAGCAGATGCTGGGGAAAGGCACGAAGGGAGAGGGGCAGGTGCTAGCATCCCTTCCCGTGTTTCATGGCTCTCGCAGCAGGAGCTGGCTGGGATGGCACCGACTGCGACATGCTGTCTCAGGCATGTGACAAAGCCTCGGTCCTCCTGCCCACACATACCAGGCTGAGCAGCTGCCGGCTTGCAGGGAGCCTGAAAATGGAAGGGGCTTCGTCTGCCTCGTACGGCAGAGGCTGCGTGCTGGGTGCAGTGCCTTCAGCTGATGATGAGGAGCTACCACCAGGCTTGCAGGAGCGAGTCTTTATCTGTCCTGATAGCTCCACCGTCTTGTAACCCCCCTGCCTGGCCCCAGCCAGCTTCAGACAAAGGCTTGCCTGAAGTCTGCTGTTTCGCTCCCGTGAAACTGCATTTGCCTTTCTTAACACACCCGATTTATCCTGTGTCCCGCTGTAATCCAACACTGTTGCTCTTCATGCAGGACTTTCCGTCATTGTGCCAGGGCAGAGGGAGAGGCAAAGATTGAAAAGCTTCTTCCCAGCCATTGCTCTGTGCAACAAAAAAAAAAAAAAAAAAAAGAGAAAAATAGCTGAATATCAAACGCGGTATCCACACAGGCCAGCCCTGGCTGTGCCACCTGCGGTTCCTGCAAAGGACAGTGGCAGAACAGGCCAGCGCAGCAGCCGACAGCCTCCTTGCACGGGCACGGGGAGCGGGGCTGCCTGCGGGTCCAGCTCTGCCCCATTCAGCAGCTGCTCCGAGACAGCCCATTTGCACCATCTCATGTGAAAAAAAAACCACACCACATCTTGTTTCTTCTTGGTTTGAGTTTCTGAGCGGTTGCTTAGGCTGGGGTGATCACACACGCCTGAAGTCAGTGTCCCCGGGGTGCTGCAGTCTGTCTCAGCTGGCGCAGCGCGGCGCAGCACCCTGCGAAGGGGCCGTGGGCGCTCCCCGGCACGCTCTGCACGAGCTGTGAGACGGCAACGGGAGGCGGCGCGGGCTGTTAGACCGAGAGGTCGGAACTGGGTCTGTCTCTAAAGCAGCAGCCGAAAGCCGCCTTCCAAAGGAGACGGGATGTGGTCATGGTTTCCTGCAAAGGGCTGACATTCCCAGAGGGTGCAGCGTGGTCCTTCGGGCAGAGTGGCTGGTGGTGGGCAGGTAGCGATCAGGTGCTACCACATCCTCATTTGCTGAGCTGACTCCAATTAATGGATTAATTAATCTTGTAACAGCCCTGACCCACAGCAAGCCCCTTTCTAGACTCTGCCTTGGTCTTCCCCATGCACAGAGACCCGCTGGGGTGGCTGGGGGTCCCTGGGGTCCCTGGCCCTGGTGACACAGGGGCGGGATCAGTGCAGCCTCCTCCCTCCCCAGCAGATTGGTGGGTTCTGCCATTTCTCTCATCTGCATAAT